TCTTCTTCTTTGCCTTCTCCTTACCAGATTTTAATCGTTCTCTTTCATATTATTCTCTCTCTCTCTCTTATTCTTATACTTTCTTTCACTCTTTCTCGTTATTCCTATGCTTTCTCGTTAATTTCTCTCTTTCCCCCCAAAAAAAATTTTTTTCCTTCACAAATTTCTTTGTTCTTCACATGCTTGTCAGCATAAGATTATTATTATTATTATTATTATTATTATTATTATTATTATTATAATTATTTCCTTCCCTACGTTTATATTTATTTTTTTTTTTTATGATTTTTTTTTTTTTCCTTCTTTTTCTTCGTTGCACCTTTTTCTCTTTTGGGTCACGCCAAGCGAAAAAAAAAAAAAAGATGACAACATAATGACGTCATTGCCCCAGCTGCAGCCGAAATAACCCGGATGTAGTCATAGATTAAGGACGCGGTCCCCAGATACATTACACGCTCGACGACGAACCCACCCACCGACACAACTCCCCCACCCCCAAATTGCTCATCTGACTTTTTTCATTCATTATCTGTTTCTTTCTTTTTTTTTTTTTTTTTTTTTCGACTGCTTTTATTCTTTCATTCTAAAATTCCTTCACACCTGTACGAATTTTCTTTCTTTCTTTCTCTCTACCTTTAATAATCAATTTATCGATTTCTTCCCCTGTTGCATCCGCGGCTTTATTTCTTCAATCTTCTTTCATTCTCTTTGTCATTCATATTGGTCTTTCATTCCTTCGTTCTTTCAGTATTTATTTATCTTCAGTTCTTTCTAGTTTTATTTTCCTTATTGATAGCTTCTTTCTTTCTTTCTTTTTTTCTTTCTTTCTTACATTTTTCTTTCTTACCTGCTTTTACTTGAATCTTTGCTTCTTTCTCTCACACCCCCATTGATAGTTTTTACTGTCTTTCTTTCTTTCTTTATTTATTTCTTTCTTTTCCTTCCTTCCTTCCTTCCTTCCTTTCTTTTCCTTCCTTCCTTCTTCCTTTTTCTTTCTTTCTTTTTTTATTTATTTATTTGTATTTGTTTCTCTTTCTTTTTCCCTCACATCCCATTTATATTTCTTTCTTTTCTTTTCACATTGACTTAATATTTAATTGTTTTTTTTAAAGTCCTGAAATATCTTTTTATTATATATATATATATATATATATATATATATTATATATACACACACATATATTTGTGTTTGCTGTTTATACATATATATATATATATATATATATATATATATATATATATATATATATACCTATGTTTGTGGCTTGTCTGGAGCCTGTATGTTTTACTGTTTGCTTGCAATTCTGTTTGTTGGTACAAGGCCACAAAAGTGGTGCACCTAGTGATAATCGAATTTACTATCATATCAAGTGTTTGCGATAATTGCCATAAATATTTACTCATCTAAATCATGTCTGAAAGAAGGCCACTTTAGAGGTGTGTCCAGCAGAGATAACCTTCATTAGACAAGTTCGGAAAAACTAATCTCTACAGTAGGCGTTCAGTAGGTGTGTGTGTGTGTGTGTGTATGTGTGTGTGTGTGTGTGTATGTGTGTGTGTGTAAGTGAATTTTATTTCTGATTCAAATGCGTCAATTTGAAATCGGTGAGATCTTTTCGATGTCTATTCATAAAAAAAAACCTACCCGGACACCTGTCACGTGACTGCACCGGCCTGCGTCGCTTTGTATCTACAGCCTTTTGTTTCTTTCTTTTTTGCATCGAACATTAAATACCGATCGCTGCCAGCCAAATAAGACTATGTAGCGCCTATTTACTAACTATGCAGGGTGTGTCCGATTTGCGGATTACCACTGAGAATCCTGACCCTTACCTGTTCTCGAACACTGACCTCTCATCGTGGCAGTAAAAAAAAATGCCTTGGTTTGAGTTGGTGTTTATTTTTTTAGGGAAAAATTCTCTATTCCTCTCACTCTGCACTTTCTCTCTCTCTCTTTTGGCGGATCTTTTCGCTAAAAATTTTCTTCTTCTTTTTTAGACCTCTCTCTCTTTTTTCTCTTTCTCTTTCTTTCATTCTCTCTCTCTTTTATTTCTCTCTCTTTCTTTATTTATTTCCTCTTTCTTTTCTCTCTCTCTTTCTCCAATTTCTTTCTCTCTCTCTTCTTTCACTTTTTTTTTTCTCTCTCTCTCTTTTTTTTCTTTGATTCTTTCTTCTCTCTTTCTTTCTCAAAATCTCTCTCTTTCTTTCTTCTTTCTTTCTTTAATAAATAGATCTCTCTTCTCCTCTCTTCTTTTTCTCTCTCATCTTTTCTCTCTCTCTTTTCTTTCTTTCTCTCTCTGTAATTGAAAACTTTCAATTCACTCTTCTGATCTCTCTTTCTTTCTTTATCTCTTTATTTCATTCTCTTTTTATTTTCCTAATTACTGAATCCCTTTTGATTCTCTCTTTCTTTATCTCTCTTTCTTTCTCTCTCTTTCTTTTTTGTTTCTTTTTCGAAAATTCTCTGTTTTTCTTTCTCTCTCTCTTCTTTCTCTTCTATTTAATCTCTTTCTTTCTTTATTTTTTCTTCTTTTCTTTCTTTTTTTTTTTTTTTCTTGACTTTCTCATTTTATTTTTTTCTCTCTTTCTTTCTTTCTCTCTTTTTTTCGGTTCGTTTTCTCTGACTTCTCTTTCTTTTATTTTTTTCTTTTCTTCTTTTTCTATTCTTTTTTTTCTCTCTTTCTTTATTTATTTCTTCTTTCTCTTTCTCTCTCTTTCTCTGTCCTGATTCTTTCGAAATTTGAGAATTTCTCCTCCTCATCTCCTCCTCCATCATCCTATTCTTTATTTTTTTTCTTTTCCAGTTTTGGTCAAATGACACTTATCCGAAAAAATAAATAAAATATCCACACTGGGATCAGCTTGGTGAGGTTCATTATCATTAAGCATTGTTGAATCAGCGCTGAAGATTCAATTGCAGACACATCATTTTTTTTTAAAAAGGACTTTTTATTAAAGTTTCTGTGTAAATGTCCTGTGTTCATTTTTCTAAATATTTTTCAGCTACATGTTTTTTTTTGTTTTTTGTTTTTTGTCGTCATAGATTATTTGTTACAGGTCACTTACCTTGTAGACATAGTTACTCGGAAGACATGGGTGCTTCAATCTAATGACCTTGTGTCAGTCTGAAATCAGCTTTGTAAAATTTGCTTGCTTTTTGCTTTTTTCTTTTTTTTTTTTGCATTTCAAGGGAAGTAATTCATCACAATTTAAAGAGTTATTTTTCTTGATTCCTGTCCAATTTAGTTTCCTCACTTTGTCTTAAAATCTAAAAACTGGCTAACTATACTGATCTCAAGAGAAGTGCGCTGGAAACAACGTCACAAAGCAGAAAATTGTAGAGTTTTTTTTTTTTTTTTTCATTTCATCCTCAAGTTAACAAATATTAAATAAATGAATCCTTCAGAAATATCTAAACTTTATCAGATCAATGGTTAAAAAAATCTTCGTGCGAATGAATCCTGTAGGTCTTCAAACATTTTGGACTGGCGCTATAGAATCTTAATGACATCATTTGAGGACTTTCAACAGCAGCAACAGCTAGAATGGATAGCACATGTAAGTTGAAAGGAAAATAATGAGATTATCAAGATGTTGACCACTCACTCTACTTCAAACAAAAGATTCGAAAGGAAAGCCCCTTTAATAATGGAAAGAGTGATAACAGTTAATGAACGTGAGAAACTTATTTTCGTGATAAATAGTTTTTTATAGAAAGATTTTATAATTTTCAACTGACAGTAGTGTAATGATAGAGAAATAAATAAATAAAAATACATAAGAAGAAAACCAAAATTTCACCATCTCTAAAAAAAATAATTGAATAATCAGAATCGCCAGACCACGAAGCCATATTTCGACCAATCAATCATAAAGCTTACACAATCAAGATATAAGAAAAGAAATAATCAAATCACAAGGAAACCAAAATTTCGATATCTCTTAAAATAGATGTATATTTAAAATCTCCAGACCACAAAACCATAATTTGACCAAATGTTAATAACCGGGATATAAATCGTTAGCGGCTTTTCGAAACTGATCTCTAGATGTGTATATAAGCAGATGGAAAATCAATCAAAACCAGAATCGATAAATAAATTCCGTTTATTTTCCGATGCTGCGGTTATTATAATATAACTAGCACCTAAATACGGTATCCTTTCCTTCACCAGCAATTAAGTAACAGTCGCATACTACATTTGGATACTCCCTCTCATTTTCTCCGTATGCGTTCACAAAATGCAACCTCTATAGCAGCACTGACTGCTCTGTTATTGAACACCGAATGTTTCTTTATAAGGAAAAGACAAATATTATCATTACCATTTTAAATGAACAAGGAAATGTTTCAGTGAGGGAGAGATTTGTATGGTGTTGTCTATCTGTTATACTAGATCATACCTATTCTATTATTAATAGACTCTCCCACAGATAATAAGTAGTAGTAGTAGCAGTCGCCAGTTGGGGCTCAGTGGAGTTGAGTGAGTCAGTCGATGTCGGACATTGAAGTATCAACCATCACAACTAGATTGCTGCGTCATTAACTATTATTGCAAGTTCCTAACGTTTTGTACGTCGAACCTAATTTAGGACGACTTAGTGAAATACAAGCCTCCACTGTGAAAAAAAACTACTTTACAAACAAATTTGGCGAGGAAGGATTCGTTTTCATATTTAAAAAAAAAAAGTTTGTGTTGTTTTATAACACTATCCTAGTGGAATGGAGGCGTCATAGAAATAACGATTTAAAATTCAGGTTTGTTTCTGTCATCAGTTTTGTAGCACAAAATTTAAATCGTGGAATTTTTTTTCCCGTGAATTGGTTTGACATTGACTCTATTTTTACAATCTGAAACCAAATCAATGGTTCAAAAACTGTTTTTTTTTTTTCCTGGGCCGTTATTTTCAGAATGAAAATTATTTGAAATCCTCATTTAAAAACTTTATTATGAAAAAAAGTAAAGGTTTCTTAAAAGTGTTTCATACATTAGTTTCTCTTTTTTAATTAAAATCTAAAGGTTTAAAGAAAAATTTGCTGCAATTGGTAGGATTGAACTCACATAGTTTTTGGTCAAGTTCCTGAATTCATGAAATGTTTTTTATCCACCGTGCGTAAAATGAGGATAATTTTCAAACATACCTAGAGAGCTTTGTGTGAATGATGAGAATCAGGACAAGGTTTAGGGGAGATAATAAAAAGACAAAATTTATTAAGAGTTAAAAAGGACAGGAAATTGTGGAGAGCCATGACCGCAAACGTCCTGAATGAACACGGCACGTAGAAGAAGAATGAGCTTGAGTAAATGAATGGATGGCGGAGTGTGGTTTAGGAGAAATAACATAAAGACAAAAGTTATTAAGAGCTGCAAAGAACCGGAAATTGTGGAGAGCCATGATCGCCAACGACCTGAATGGACACGGCACGTAGAAGAAGAATTAACTTGATTAAATGGATGGCGGAGAGGTTTAGGAGAAATAACATAAAGACAAAAGTTAAGAGCTACAAAGAACCAGAAATTGTGGAGAGCCATTATCGCCAACGTTTTGAAGGGAAACCATGCATAGAAGAAGAATTTGACAAGATCCTGTCTAAAATTCCCTTGACGGGTTTTTACTTAATGATTGTGTTCTGTTAAGGTGTTATTCTCACCATAATGTTCTTACGAATGAAAAAGAACGCGTTTACGTATGTGACGGATCAGGAAAATAGTTGTTGGTTCAGAAATCAAAAGACGTTCGCCGTAGGTTTACCCTTGTAGATGGCTGACTATTAGTAGCAACCCTAGTGGTGCCATTAGAAAAAAATGGTTGCAGAAAGATATGTCCCATCTTCGACTAGCAATATATTTCCTTATACAGTGAGTCCTGCTGGAAGACGTAGGGGCGTCCGGTGGCGATCTTGTCCATCCAGGGTTTCACCACGCTCCTCAGCACCTCCTGGTAGATCTCAGAGGTGATTCTCAGCCCCTTTTGAAAGAAGAATGGAGTCTGACGTCCCACTCGTTGCATACAGGGCCAAGACGACCCAGGCGTGGCTGCTCAGCAATGTTCCTCACCTCTGGTCGCCGGACGTGTGGCCGCCCTCCTCACCTGATAGCAACCCCCTTGACTATTTCTTCTGGGACGTGATCGAGACCAAGACCAACAAGCACGTCCATAACACGCCGCTATGGACATGGTCGCCAAAGCGTGTGACTCATTTCGCGCCCGCCTTGAGATGGTCGTCATCGCAGATGGCGGTTATACTGGGAAATAATGTAGTATGTAACTCTAACTGCTGCTAAAGAAACTGCCGGGTCTCTTCATATACAACTTTTGTTTTTATTGCCTATTTCGTTTTCTTTTTATGAAGTGCCGGATTTTGCTGCAACCCCCTGTAGAAGCTACAAGTTGTTTGAAACAAAGCGGAGGCCTCTCGGATTTTCCCTTTCAGATTATTGCTGGGAAAGAACCAAATATAGCGAAATCCCGCCTTGGACGATGGAGCAGATCTTTTGTGTGAAATCATATTACGAAACTAAGTCTTTTGTGATCGTTCAAGCAAAATGTGCAGAATGGAAGTTCATTTTCGACACATTTCCAAACAGGAGTCAGATTTCAAAGTTCATGGCACTTGGGAAGATCGTAGGGCAACGGGTTCCTCACCATCTGGGTCTCCAATAAGAATCCGAACATCCAAGAATATCACCAGGGTTCAAGAGTCAGTCGGTCAGTGTCCGTCCAGATCTTTGTGACTGAGGGGTCAAGAACTTGGGATCTCTATATCTTCTGTTCAGCGCATTCTAATTAACGATCTCAAATGTTATCCCTACTAGATTCAGATCAAGCAACAACCGACCCAGACCGATATTGAAAAGAGAGTAGCAATGTGCCAGTAGTTTTCTGAAAAAAAAGATCTTAATTGATGTCTGGTGTTCGGATAAAGCCCACTTACTCTTTAATGGTCATGTTAACTCCAAGAACTGGATATTTGGGGGAATCGAGATACCTCGCAGAATCAATGGACGCCTTCTGTATTCTAAAAAGTGCACGTCATGGGTTGCCATCTTGAAGCATGGCATCACTGCACCATTTTTCTTTGAAAATGATCGGGGTAACGCAGTAACAGTGACAAAAAAGCGTTACATTCCAGTACTTGAGCAGTTCTGGGAAGAAGTCGAAGAGTGTGAGGACCTTGATGAGTAGAGACAGTTGTTCCAGCAGGATGGTAATCCTCCTCACATTGCTA